GCATATTTTTCGCTTTGTATTGCATGTGTGCAACCTTGAAACTCTGACAGTAATTCTGAAATTTCTACCCTAATACAATAGCTCCAGCAACTAAGAGTAGGTCTAGGGTTAAAATAGAAGCATCAAACCAAGCCCAAAGCTTGATGGAAGCTTTCAAGCGAATTATTTTCAGTTGTGTTCTTGTGTTCATCTTAAACCAACAGGTAAGTCCTCTTATTTTAGTTTAAATACATCTCCTTTAATAATGTTTTACATAGATGATAATGGTTATGGTATTAGTTAGCATGCATGATCATGTAGGTTAACTTTTTCGCATGTTTTTTTTTTATATTTTATTTTACTTTGTTTTGCATGTTTTAGGTTGTGTATATTAGCAACATATTTAGGTTAGTTTACTCTTGATATTATCATACATATAGCCCAGTTTAATCATCATATAATGTTCAATATGTTAGATTGTATATGTTACTTGCTTTGTTTGCTTTATATAATGTTAATAGCTATCAAACCGGGTCTAGGGTTCATGTTGCTTGCATTAGTAGCATGTTTAGAATCATATATACATTATTTAATATATATTTTACATACTTGACGTCTAGCTATGGAATTTGGGTAACTTCTTCAAACTTCATAGCATATTGTTTGTATTTAATGCATTGTTTTTCAACAATTCAAGTCTATGTGTTTTTGAATGATTAATTAGTTGTTTTGAGTGTTTTTCGTGACATTGTTTGAGTTGGGTTATGTTTCATAACCATATGATATTAAAGCCATCTTTTGTTTAAAAAATAGAATTATTTTATAAAAATCTTTGACTTGATGCGGTTTGTCCATTAATCTAACTTGAATGATATTTATTTATTCAATCACCTAGTTGATTAGGTTAAAAGAATTTATGGTAATAATTGAGTTTATAGAATTAATCAATCAAATAATCTCATAAAATAAAATATTAGTAGAGGCCAATCACTTGATTGGGCGAGAATGGTGCTCATGTAATGACCTTGTTTTCTTGTACCTAAGTTGTTATGATGGATTAATGGCTGAATTATGTTTTCAAAGTCAAAAGATTTCTTAGTTTCTTATAAAAATTAAGTGGCGACTCTTTATTATAAATCTATCTATTTTGATAACTTTTGGGATACACGATTTGTTTCCATTATAGATCACTTTATTCATATTTAATGTGAGATTTAGAGGTTGGTACTATTTATGAAAATGAGCCTAATAACCAAAAAGACATGGCGTCCACACACCACCAACTCCAAGTGCCACCTTCCTAACTCTAGCCACCCATCATTGTCCCTTTCTAGCTCTGGCCGCCACCTCTAGTCTATTCTCACCCTACACCAACTTACTCTACTCGAATAACCCTCACTAGCTAGCCCTAACCCCTCTTTTTCATTTCCTAACAATGGTAATGAAAGTGCAACACACACACACACACACAGAGGGGACAAAAATGAAGAAGGAGAGTCCAAGTATAGGGGTTGTGGGTGTAGATATCATAAGGAAAGATAGAGGGATTGTGAGTTGGAGGTCGCAAGAGATGAGGAGAGACTAAATGTGCATGAGGGAAGGGGGTTATATGAGTCGGGGTGGCGAGAGTAGGGAAAGGGTTAGGTGTACACATAAGAGAGGGAATGACTACATAGATAGGGGTCGTGGTGTATTAAGGAGCAATTAGGTGTGCACAAGGAAGAGAGGAGCTACAAGAATGGGATCGAGAGTGAGAGGAGAGGGATTGGGTGCGTGTAAGGGAAGAGGAATGGATATGAAGGCCTAAGGGTGGAATATAGGCATGTTAGGCCTAATTAGTCATCCAAATTAACCTGATTTAACACTTAAAACTGAATGTATTAAATGACAACCAATTAAGCTCGTTTATTAATCATAATTGATATTACTCAAAAATTTAAGCGTCTTTTAAAATGTAAACTTCTAGTTAAGAAAATTTTAAGTTATATGAAAATTACTTACATACCACCACCACCACCACTATCATGCCACCCGCCACCACCACCTTCATCACTATTGTCATTTTTGCTATAAGCACAATTATAATTTTATTATCTCCAGCACAATCGTCATTGCCATTATTACCACTACTATAACAACTACAACAACCTTTCACCTCCACAACCATTGTAACTATTGCCACAACTATTGCCATCGCCGCTGCCACCTCTTTTTTATCTCTACAATATTACCTTTCCATCATTACTACAACCACTATTTAAGAGTGTAAAAATGGTCCGCCGCCCATGGGCTGCCCGAATCCCGCCTACGGCCCAGGGTGGGCCCAGGCCCAAGCCCAGGCCAACCCGAGACCTTATGCCATCATTTTGAAGCTCGGCTCGGCCCATGGCTCAGCCCATCGACCCCCTTAAGGCCAACTCAAAGCCTGGCCCGAGACCCGTTCGGCCCAAGGCCTAATGTCTTTTTTAATGAAAAATAATAAAATTTTGGTATAAAAAATAATAAAATTTGTTCAAGCCCATCCAAACCCGTCCCAAGCCCAAGCCCAAGCCCAAGCCTAGGTCCATTGGCGCGCTCAAGGCCTGAATACCCCCTGGGCCTAGGCCTAATTTTCTGGCCCGTAGGCCAGCCCGAATTTTGACAGGAGCTCTTTGAGGCCCGACATGAGCCGAGTTGGGCCAAATTTACACCCCTACCATATCCATCTATCTTCACCATTATTGCCATCAACACCATAACTAACACTGCTGTCTCTTCTACCACCACCAACTTACCATATCCTAATATAAAAATTAGAAGATACAATTTAAAAATAATAATTTCCAAATTTGAACTTATGTATATGTTTATATATATCAGACAACTTATTTCAATTGAATACTTAAATTTTTATCAAATAATTTTTTAACTTAAAAAATTCAACATTCAATTTTTAATTTTCAACTTTATTAAACACCACCTAAACTAATATAAGAAATTACAACCGTGTACCTTACTAAATGGTCACATGTCCAATTACTCTTTCACTTTCAGTATATCCAAAAGAAATAATTAATAAATAAATTGAGTCATACAGGTCAATTAATCAGATTATCGAGTCTAATGCCGCAAAACATTTCCCTCTTCTTCGTCATCATCTTTAAAAAATTCTCATAACAGAAGGCATGAACTATACCAAAATTTTTAAAGTATTAATAAAAATAAAATAATTATTACAAATTTAAATTAGTTTGTTATGAATCACACATAAAAATAAATTTATTTTAATACATTTGATTTTGTAATCACTTAATTTTAAATACCTTTTACAGGTGCATTGCTGTAACCTAAACATTTCCCTCTTCTTCGTCATCATCTTTAAAAAATTCTCATAACAGAAGGCATGAACTATACCAAAATTTTTAAAGTATTAATAAAAATAAAATAATTATTACAAATTTAAATTAGTTTGTTATGAATCACACATAAAAATAAATTTATTCTAATACATTCGATTTTGTAATCACTTAATTTTAAATACATTTTACAGGTGCATTGCTGTAACCTATAATTAAACTTAAGGAAAAGGTTATCATGTGCACCCTCTTCAGCATACATTTTATACAAAAAAAATTATAATTTTTATCATAAAAAATATAACTTTGTCATTAATAATTTTAAAGATGCAAACTATAATTTCATCATAAATAATTTTCACTATAAAAATTTGTAACTTTAAAAGTCTTGAACGTGTTGGGCTTAATCAAATCATATAAGTTAGGGGTGTTCACGGTTCGGTTGTGCCCGGAAAACCTCTAATCCGTCATCTGTCCGCTAGATGGGCGGATTGAAAAAAAATCAATCCGCATCCGTCTATCGAATTGACGGATGCAGATTGAGCGGATTGGCAGATTGGCGGATGGATGTGGATCGGTTTGGCGGTTTAAACTTTTACAAATTTTAAACATAATACAACAGCTTGTCAAAAATTTTTTTAGATAACAATCCAACTCAACATAATCAAAATATTATTAAGTAAATTGTTAGATACCAATAATAAATACATATAAAAAAATCATGCATTATCAAAACTATTTCTTTACTTTTTTTTATTTCTTCAAAAACTATTTAATTTAATTTTTTTTAAATGACAAAATTAGGCTTTATATTTTCCACATAAAAATATCAAATATCAACCCTTGCCATTTGATAAAAGGATTTTCAAATTGAAAACAAATTGAAAATACAACAGAATAACTAAAATCTTTTTTAATTGAAAATACAAACAAAATGTCTGAACAAATTGAAAACACAAAATCTTACAAATTATTAGAGGTGCTCGCGGTTTGGCCGTTCGGTTGCGGCTAAATGAACTTCAAATCCGTCATCTATCCAAAACTAGGCGGATTGGAAAAAAACAATCCGCAACCATCCGCTCGTCATTACATATCCGTCCAAAATATGACAAATTAGTTCAGTTCAATCGGTTTGAACAGATCAAAATACCCGCTGCCCTAATATAAGTCAATTCATCAGATAAAATGAGTCCAAATCCAATGTAAGGCTGCAAATCATTGCCTTTTTCTTTTGACATTATCAACTAAGAAAAAAGAAAAAAAAGAAAGAAAAGGAAATAAACATCTGGAAGAGAAGTCCAAGGGCATGTTTGATTCTTGAATTAAGTTAGGTGAGATAATGGGTGTAATGGAATTAAATAATAGAATTATTAGTATGATAATATTAAATCTAAGATAAATTATACTTTGTTTGTATACTAATGTGATAGTATTTGTGAGCTAAAATTAAATTTATGAAATTATGTAAAAACATTTAACATATAAAATGTGATTTTATTATTATTTTTAGATGGGGTAAACTGGTACTTTCACCTCAATTTCATGGGATTGAATCGTGAATCCAAACTCCCCCGAGACGGTTAATCCAAACCCTGTATTATTGGAAAGTTGCTTGCAAAGCACAAGCATTGGAAGAATTGTTCTTTTTTGCTTTAGATCAATCCTTCTTACAAAAACACTGGTTCATAGCCTCAACAAACACTGATCTCTATATTGTAATGTTCTTTCCTAAATACATAATTAAATAAACTCTCAATGTATCAAAAATAATAATAACAATAGAACTCTCTGCTTTACATTTTTATACATAAATTTTAGTCTCTTACACCAACAATCCCAAATTAAAAAAAAAAAAAATACTAGTTATGAGTTGCTTTCTTTGGCTCATCGGTTGAGAATTTTCTAAGTCCAGTCGTAACTTGAAGATAACTTTGTGTAGTTGCATCCGAATCTTGACGGGTTCTGTACAGTGAATACAATACAAAGCAAATAATCTCAAATCCTCCAATAGCACTGACTAACCAAATCATGAACTGCAATGTCTCATGTCCTTTGGGTTTTTTGTAAATTCTATCAAGCTGCAAACTAATTGGATACGAGCAATCTAACTTGATTTCTTTCGCAGGCTTCATATACAATAAGAGTGAGTCTTTTGGCAATTTTATGTACATAGAATCTGGAAAACCTGGCGAGCGATATCCGTTCAACAATAGTGATTTGGGATAACAGTTGTAAAAACCGTTGTCCCAGTTAAATTTATATTGAAATCCATAGCAGTCACAGAGCTGCAAGCATTGCTTCTCACAACTCTCGAAAGTATAATTGCTATAGAAGTTAATATCATAGCCATAGAATTCAACATGAGGAAGTTGGATGAAACCGACCTCCCCACCATGGTTGCAAGTGAGAGTGAAATCTGGCTCACATCCGAGAGATTGATCTGTATGATTTTTAATCTTGTATCCTGGTATACAAGAGCATCTCCTACCAGATTTCTCATGGGGAACATAAGTACACAAACTGTTGGGTCCGCAGATACCATGGATCTTGCACGGTTGAGATTTGGCTTGCCACGAAACACTCCAGGTTCCCCTTCTCTCGTCCAGACTGTATAGTCGAATGTTGCCATCGTGATCCATTGTTAATCTTCTCTGAATCCCAATTCCAGAATCTACAGCCGTGAATTCAAACTTATCGCTCGACTTGAAATGGCCAAAGGAGTTGAATACAGCGATTCTGCTACTGTTGTAACTGGTTCTTGAAGCTTCCCAACTGATTAGCCATGGGTCTGGCCAATAAACGCTGGATATTTCAGGGCCATCAAAGACAAGACGGAGGATGTTGTCATCATCGAAAAGGAGCTTGTAGAAACCAGAAGAATAATTGGTTTGGCTTCGAGATGACACAAGCTTTGTGTTTCTGGTGAGTGGTTGGTAGGGAAGAAGGGTATCGGTTGGTGAATCAAAACTTTGCCAAAGAATTAATCCCTCCGAAGTAAGAAGAACAAGATTACCAGTGTCATTCAGTAGCAATTGTACTGAAGAGATTGACTCAGTGTTGGTAGCCCAAACGTTGAGCTGGCCGGCATCTATCAAGACGAGATTGCCATTTTTCAAGAGGGAGAGCTCTGAAAGTCTTCCATTAATGGGTTGGTCTCGGTTCGCCATCCAGACTATGGTGTGACTCCCATCATACAATGGTTCACTGAACCATATCGCAAAGCAGTAAGCATTATCACCAACGGAGTAGAAGCCAGCTGAGAAAACACCAGTTGGCGAAATCAGAACATGGTCCGGCTTTTCCACAGAGAGAGATGAGCCTTTACTTAAACTATATGTATATGGTGTTGTTGAAAGTGCGAAGGATGGGAATGACAGGACAAAAGGAACAAAGAGGATCAAAATTGGTGAAGACATAAGGTGATTGTTATTATGAATATATGAATTATTTAGATTGGAGTTATGGTTCTTGTGGGATGGTGGTTGTGAATATATATATATATACAGAGATCAGCTCTACATAACTAAGAAATTGCATCACCATCTCCATGGCCATTCAAAGTGTGTCAAACTGTCTATTCGAAGAGAACTATTGATCCAAACAGCCAATTTGACTGAGTCAAATGGGGTTCAAGTGGTGGTAGTGGAGGAAGAGTTGGTGGTAGAAAAATTGCATCGACATCTCCAAAGTGTGTTAACTATTTATTTTTTTGTTCAATTGATTTAAATCTAAAAGTTTGCAAGATATAATCAAATTATTTATGGATTTAAACAAATTTAAATGGGTTTAAATTTGTAAAATTGATGGGTTCATTGGTGAAGGTTGCCAATGCCAACTCTAATCTAAAAGTAGATATTATCCTATGAAGTATGGGTATGTCAAAAAACATGCCGTATTTGTACAACGTATTTACTGGCGTATGGTACCTCGTATGGTACTTCTACATATGTACCGGGTATACGAAACACATACCCAATTTTTTTCTTCTTAATTTTTGGCGTACCCAGATGTACCGACTATATACCTAAGCCGAATCGTACCTCAGTTGAAACAATATTTTCTTTTTAAAGAAGTTTGTAATCAAATCTCTTTCATTTTCAATGAATCTAAAGTACATACATCACTTATACTTATATACAATATAATGACTCTAACAAACTAACAACCACTACAACTAACTCCTAACTAATTCTACAAAATATCTTTTCAAAATATCTAAGCTGATAGCTGAGGTTGAAGCTGTGGTAGGAGCTGTAGCTTGGAGCTACGACTGCAACCTAAGCTAGCTGGTGGTGTATCTTCAACATATCCTGTAAGCTGATGGAGGGAGAAACTAACATGAGCTTGCCTTTACGATAGGAAAATTTGGAGATAGATAAAGGTTTAGTGAAGATATCTGCTAGCTGATCAATGGCAGGAATGTAGTGCAAGACAAGTTGTTTAGCAAGCACTCGATCTCGAACACAATGGCAATCAACTTCTATATGCTTAGATTTGGAATGGAATACAGGGTTAGAATCAGAGCAATAGCAGACACATTGTCACACCAGAGAAGCTCGCTTAAGCGAAACAAGTCACAAACATACACATGCAAGCTTAACAAGCCATAATCATACAGATGCTCATGAACATGACGAAGACATAAAATGTGGGTTCCTACAGGGACAATGGAAAAATCCTGAAGCAACATACCAAGCCATGCAAGCTCTGCTACTATATGAGCTAAAGATTTGTACTCTGCTTCAGTAGAGGATCGAGAGACAGTGGCTTGCTTTTTAGATGACCAAGAAATGAGGTTGGATCTTAAAAATACACAATACCCTGAGGTAGACTTTCTGTCAACAAAATCTCCAGCCTAATTGGAATCAGAATAAGCATGAAGATCAAATGAATTGAGGGTATAGGTAAGACCATAAGAAATGGTGCCCTTAATGAACCTGAGCAACCTCTTTACACCAATATAGTGACCAACGGTGGGATTATGCATATGTTGACACAATTGATTCACAGCAAATGAGATATCAAGTCTGGTAATTGTCAAATATTGTAAGGCACCAATTATGCTTCTATAGACAGATGGATTGGCAAAGGGCTTATCTGAATGTGTAGGTAGACCAGGCTTGACAGAGATAGGAGATGAGCAAGCTTTGCAATCCAGCATACCAGTTTTAAGAAGAATATTCTGAGCATACTTCTTTTGAGATAGAACAGTGGTGGAACCAGAGTTATCAACTGAGATGCCAAGAAAATAGGAAATAGAACCAAGCTCCTTCATAGAAAAAACTTGATGCATCTGAGTAATAAGAGCTTGAATATGTGTATAATCATTACCAGTGATCAATATATCATCAACATAAACAAGTAAGGCAAGAAAGACAGAACCAACCTTTTCAATAAACAGAAAAGAGTCACATTTGTTGTTCTTGAATCCTTAAGACAACAAAAAAGAGGAGAATGTGGAGTACCAAGCTCTTGGGGCTTGTTTAAGACCATACAAGGCCGTATGGAGTTTGCAAACAATCTGAGAATTAGAAGACTGATTAGGAGACTGATCTTCAAACCCTGGTGGTTGCAGCATGTAAACCTCATCTTCTAAGATCCCATGAAGAAAAGCATTAGAAATATCTAATTGATTTATAGGCCAATCGTGACGAAGAGCAAGACATAACATAACACGAATTGTTGGTAATTTAGCAACTGGGCTAAAAGTTTCCTGAAAATCAATCCTCTCCTGTTGGAGATAACCTTTAGCAACTAATCTGGCTTTATGCCTAGCCACTGTCCCATCTGAATTGCGCTTGATTTTGAACACCCATTTGCAACCTATGACAGTCTTGCCTTGAGGAAGAGAAACCAAAGACCGGGTGTGTTGGTTTTGCAAAGCTTGGAACTCCTCAAGCATAGCTTGTTTCCAAATAGGGGTAAGTAAGGCTTCCTTATGAGTAGAAGGCTCAATATCAATATATGAAGAAGATGGAGGTGTCTTAACAGTAGACAATGCAGCTTTGGATCTAGTAACCATAGGATGGCAGTTAGAAAGAGAAGGAACATAAGGAATGGTAGAAGAGGGAGCAGGTATAGGTAATTGAATAGAAATAGAGTTAATAGGAATAGAAGGCCGAGGAGGAGAAGTAATAAAAGGTAAAGAAGACTGTGACTTAGATGAAAAAGACTGGGACTGAGATGAAGAAGGACTAAGTGTCACACCCCAAATCAGGTATGACCGGCCGTGGCCAACAGGCCTTAGCCCAAGGCACACGTAAGCCTAAGCACTAATCCATAATCACATTGAATAACTATACAAAAGTCCAGTATTAAATAACCAAACTCAGTCCAGTGACATGCCACAAGCATAAACGGCAAAACCAACCGTAATCAATACCATCCAAACTTATGGGATATAAACAGCCCACATATCAAAATAATCCTAAGTGAACCTCAATAAAAATAAAAACAAATATGCACAAACTTGACATAACAATCTAAAACAAAATAAATGAATGTCCTAGAGGTCCATGCAATTGAGTTCCCGCTACGCCATGAGTCCACTCTAAGTCCTTCCTAGAAATGATAAACAACTAAGTCAGCTGATAGCTCAGTGAGTAGCAACATATAGTATATACAGTTTTGAAAATAGGGATCAATTCCAAAATAAGATATATATATATATATACATATATATATATATATATATATATATATCACAGAAACTAGATTGGCATATAGTTTGATAAGGATAATTTGTTTCAAAAATAAGGTTCCACAGTTCAACAATTAAAATACCCATGTCTCTCAAGAACATGATAAATGACATTTTTTACTTAAAATAGATTATAACATGAACACCAATAATTTTCTGGGTACCAAGAAATAACAAGTAACATGCCACATAGTTCTCAAGGCTACAAGCCCCACTGGATCCAATACCAAACTAAAAATCATCCTCAGGGTGGCAACTCGGGCTTTTTCTCTAAGACGATCCGATTGAAGGTCATCTAGCCTAACCTAGGTCTTTTTCTTGCAATCGTTGAGCACTAGAGTCATCACGGCCCAACCCGAATCTATTTTCTAGTGGCCAGAGTCACCACACACAGTGGAATAATTTCCCTGGATTAAAATATACAGATGGTCCCAATAATTAATACACATCAGTTTCGCAAAACATGGTAGTTCACCATTATAAACATGAGACCAAAAACAAATAGTTTACAGTATGCCAAGTTTATACATGTTTCAGAAATAATTTAATTCTTTGATAATATAATAGATTATCAAAACAGTTTAGTCTTGAAACAACAACTTAATTTTCTAACAGTTCAGGGTATGGTAACATTTATAAAAATATGTAGCATGAAACTACTCACCTGAAAACGGAATAATGTAATCCTCGAATAGGGTATAATAGTCCAACTAGTGTCCTAAACCAAGTATGAAAACTACACGTCACTACTAATTTAAAAATACTAAACAGAATAATAAACTAAGTACCCCACACTAAAGCGCACTAACACAGCTCAACCTCACTCACCATTACTCTTAAATAATACCTAAGTTCATGTTCTTCAAGGTCTAAAATTACCCATGACATGGGTTCCGATCGAAACTTAACTAAAAGTTACTTTAAAATAAAGCAGAGTTTTAAACAAGTTTTCTAATCTATTCGCTAACTTTGAAAATTAAAAACCCACTCCATGCTGTTCGAAAAATTCCAAAACCATCCAAATATCAACTAATATATCCTAAGTTTCAAACCCAATTAGTTTTACTTGATTTGCTTATCAAAATAATTATTTACAATTAATTACACCCAAACAGGTTGTTTTCTGCAGCACTTTAAAGAAATTAATTGTCACACCCCAAATCCGGGCATGACCGGCCGTGGCCCACAGGAACTCAGCCCAAGGCACACGTAAGCCTAAACATGAACCCAAAATCACAAAGAATAAATGTGATGATAGCCCATGAATAAATAAATTAAAACCCAATCCAGTGACAAGTCACAAGTATAAATGGTAAAACCAACCATAACCAACTTCAAAAAATATATACTAAATGGAACACAAACCGCCCACAAAATAAAATAATTCTGAATAAAAATCCAACCACAATGTATGTACAAAACCCTACATAACAAGCTAAAACAAAATAAATGAATGTTCTAGAGGTCCATGCAATTGAGTCCCCGCTACGCCATAAGTCCACTCTAAGTCCTTCTAACACCTGGAATTGATAAACAACAAAGTCAGCTGATAGCCCAGTGAGTAGCAACATGGATAGTAAATACAGTTTTGAAAACAGGGCTCAATGCCAAAGTAAGATATATATCACAAAAACTAGATTGGCATACAGTTTGGTAAAGACAATCTGTTTCAAAAAGAAGGTTCCACAGTTCAACAGTTAAATACTCATGTCTCTCAAGAACATGATAAATGACATTTTCCACTTAAAATAGATTACAACATGAACACCAATAATTTTCTCCTAGAGGTCCATGCAATTGAGTCCCCGCTACGCCATAAGTCCACTCTAAGTCCTTCTAACACCTGGAATTGATAAACAACAAAGTCAGCTGATAGCCCAGTGAGTAGCAACATGGATAGTAAATACAGTTTTGAAAACAGGGCTCAATGCCAAAGTAAGATATATATCACAGAAACTAGA